AGTGACACAAGAACATTAGTGTGCCAGGACTCCTCTTTGGTCTCTTTCTTCCTGCTGGGGTCCTGGAATCCAGTGTAGGTATCTCCTTGGCCATCGGCTAGTTTGGTTCAGCAAAAAGAATGCTAAAAGCCTGAAGGTGTACAGTGGCCAAAGCCACAGGTATGCCCAGAAGTGTGCTTTCCTAACTCAGGTGTCTCTTAATCCAAACTGGCAAGTGTAACGAGCCAAGCATTTCACAGATGGCAGAAATCTCTTAGCCTAGCTCCCATCCTAGAGTTCTGAAGTGTAATCCAAGAACCTGTTATTAAAAGTTCCAGGGAAATAAGTAAGTCAATGAAATCAGCCTTCATGCCTAGTCATGTTCAATAGTTATTTCACGAAAATATATTCACAGAGACATCTGGACATAACTTTATGAGCTCTTGTTCCCCTAAAGTTTAGCCTGAGTTGGACCTAGAGGAGACACCCTGGCAAATGAGTAGATGGATATGGGTATCAGTTTGATGTGAGAAGCATCACTCTACTACAAAGAAGGAAGCTTACCCCTCAGAGGCTCCCACCAAAGTCCTAGAAGCAGGAGAGAACTTTGAGAAAATAGCATTATGTGTCAGAATTTCATACCATTGATATTGAAGCTATAGGAAACTGAAACGTCCCTGTAAAACTGATAGACTATGGTAACAGAGCTTTGGTGTATGTAACATCCTCATGCTACAGCACCCTCCAGAGCCCTTGTCTGCAGACACAACCCTAAAGAGGGCCTGTTAAAATTCCCCAACAAACACAGCACCTTTCCTTCAAGTGTACATTGGCGGCAACAATAAAATGATGAGTAAACACAGGCAGAGGAATAGCAACGGTAGAAATTCTGGCTACCGTGTGGAGTGTTTAGGGGATGCGGCAGTAGAATGGGTGACCTGGGAATGCTGGGGAATTACTTTACTGGAACTCAGTCGGCCGCTGCATCTTGATAATCGAGTTGATGGGACAGAGAGGCAGTGGGGGTTAGCGATGCACCCCTGTGCTGATGTTTCCAGAGAAGGTGAGATCATGGGGGCTGTGGTCTAAAGAATGCTTTAACCCAGAGACAGATTCGGATTTTGAGTAGATTATCGGAAGGCTCTGTACTGAGGGAAGGCAGGCGCTTACCTGGAAGGAGTAGCTCCCTAGGGACTTGTCTCTGGGTGGGGCGGGGGCTAGGGCTTGTCCTGGCCACTTCCTGCTGTAACTCCACTGCCATGAGAGCAACAGCTCGGCCCCGCCCTGTACGGAGCCTCTGAATCGGAACTGGTCCCATCACAGTCGTGTAAATGGCTGGCCAGTGCACTGGCGGGAAGCCATGATTTTCTCCCACTGGCAAAACCAAGCAGAGCCCACTCACCCGCTTTGTGCATACATGTTACATGTTCTGCTCCCCACGAACCACATAAAAGGAGGACATCAACTAGCTGGCAACTTAGTTTGCACCCACAGGAAGCTACTGTTTCTCCAGAGTGTTAGCCATTTCAGAACCTCACAGGAAATACACATGCAACCTTAAAAGTCTATTCACTGGGCGTTTTACATAATTATGCACACACGGTGATGTAAAGCCCCCTGGTTCCCACAGAAAACCACCTTCTTCCTTTATTATTGTGGGACAGTGACTGGCACAGAATTCATCTGCACACACTTTAGAAAGGAAATGCTTCCTTCCCTTCTGCTCCTGTGCCTGTCAGATATGGTGGCAGGCTCTTTAATCATCTCTTTCCCTCAAACCTATGTCTTACTATAGCGGTAAATGTCACTGGATATACTGGAAACCCTCCCCTCCAAAAAGCCACTTTTGGGTTGCACTTAACTGTTAAAGACAATGGTTTCCTTCCTCACCTTCATCTACATCATCGGTATGTGCTGTTTGTTGTTTCCTTTGTCCTAAGAACAGGTCTTGTTGTGTAACATAGGCTGGCCTTGAACTCACCCTGCACCTTACACAGTCCCCTCCACAAATGGGCAGTGATGTGATCCAAGGTGGGCTCGTCCTGCCTTAGCCTCCTGTGTGCTGGGGCCACAGAGGTGTGCCACCATGCCTGGCTACCACTAGTTCCACAAGGATCGCATGCGCCAGCTCACACTGGATACCACTCCCTCGTTACCATCTTGCTGAATCTTGGGATTGAAACGCTCACTGTCTGTCCTCCACATTTAGGCAGCAGATGTTTTGGACTGAAATTAATCTTTGCATTCATTGCATGGACCTGAATGAGACCTGAAGAAAGGGAAGTCCTGAACTCCATCTTCTGACAACTGTCTCTTCTGGAGGTGACTGCAGCCCCATGAATGGCAATTGTTCTAGAATGTTCTGATCCTAGAACACTTATATCTAGTTCTGGAACTCAACTCCACAAGTAGTACCTTGGCTGATGTTTCACCCTTCTTCTAGTGGTAGAAGCACCTGTTCCCCTGACAAGTTACCTTTTCATCTAAGGTGGCCAGGGTGATTTCCTCACACAGCCTGCTGACTGCCAAGTCTAGTCTCAACAAGTCAGGGAGTTATCAGTGCTGACAATCAGAGGTTACAGTGCACACCAACATGCATGAGATAAATTGGTCTACACTGCCATTCTGTGAATAGGCAGGACCCATACTCCTCTCTCCATCATACAGGGAAGAGAGCTGAATCTCACAAGAATCAGGTGACTTACCCAAGGTAAGAGAGAGGATAGACAAAATTCAAATCAATACTTTTCATCTGATATTAGGAAGCCTCCGAGCCAACAACGCAATGCAAGAACATGTGTGGATTGGCACAGAATTAAAGCCTAATTTACTAGCATGTGTGTATGCATGTGTGTGTGTGCACATGCATGTGTGCATGTGTGTATAGTACGTGTACATGTATGTGATGCATGCACATGAGTGTGTGGGTGTGCACTCCCATGAGCACACATGGAGGACAGAGGACCTCAGGTGTCTCATCATTTTCTGCCTGCTTGCCTTGAGGGGGGGCCTCTCATAGGAGCAAAAGCTCACCGATTCGTCGAGGCTGGCTGGCCAATGGGCTCCCAGGATCCACCTGTCCCCACTCCCATGCCCATCATGCAGGACGACAGGCACAGCAGACATGCTCAGCTTTTACACAGACACTGGCCATTTGAATTCATGTCCTCATACTCACAGTGCAAATGATTTTTACCAAGGAGTCTTCTACCCGGCCCATATTTTCCCAGCTCCGGTTTACTGTATTTTATGTATATCAGGGTTTGTCAGCACGCATGTTTGTGTGCTACATGCATGCCTGGTGCCCCAGGAGGGCAGAAGAAGTCAGGTCCATTGGGACTGGGGTTACAGATGTTGTGTGCTGCCATGGGAGTGTAAACCTAGGTCGTCTCCAAGAGTAACAAGTGTCCCCCATCTCTCCAGCCCCCATTTAATAGCTGTTGGTTTTTCCTAATTTAAACACCAAACCTTCCAAGACTATGCAGTTATACTAGCACACCTAAGGGAGATCTAATAAATACAGGGGTTTTTGTTGTTGACTTATTAACTTTTGGTTAGCATAACAAAGATATAGGTCTCTTTGTGACATTTTCATACAAGTAGGTCATTCTACTTTGTTCTTATTTGTACCAACCTGCCCCATCTCCCCTCCTTCCCTCTCTTTGTCTCTCTTCGCCTCTCAAATATGTCTTCCCTCCGCGTTCATGTCACATAAGTCCCATCATCCTCTTCCTTTAATCCTTCCTCCCTCTCTTCTATTTCCATGTCCTACACATACGTACTCAGGTACACATGTACACACACATATATGTACACACATACACGCACGTACACATGCACATATACCTACACATATACGTGCACATGTACACACAAATACAAACACATGTACATGCACACATGTACACACATATGCATGTCTCAATTCTGCATGGGAGAAAACATATAATATCCACTTTCTGAATTTGTTTTATTTCACTCAACATGATCTCCAGTTGTGTTCATTTTCTTACAAATGTCATGATTTCATTTTTCCTTAGAACTGCATTTTTTTCCTTTGTGTGTGTGCCACATCCTCTCTATCTAGTGGAGATCTAGGCTGGCTCTATTTCCTGGTTACTATGGATGATGTAGCCACAAGCACGGATATGCAGACATCTCTGTGGTAAGCTGACTTAGAACCCTGTACCCAGCAGTACAGGCTTGCTTTGTCCAGGCTGCCACTCCAGATTTGATGTGACAGACTGATAGGACCCTTCCCCTTAAGAATGATCTTGCTATTCACTCGTCACAGATCTACATAGAGGGAGAGTCCTACTGTCCAACGCTGAACATGAACCCTCTTTGCAAGCAATCATCTGGCCAAACTAAGGTCATCCAGAAGACTTGGGAAGAACAAAATTCATTTCTTAACTTCTCCCTAATGGCTGTTTCGCCAAAGACCCCACCACCACCACCAGGAGTTCCCTAAAATTTAAACAAACAAACAAAAAATTTCAAATTACCTAGTAAAAATCATTTCAATGCAATGTTCAGGAAACCAAGCAGGAAAACAAAGATTGTTTTAGACCACAAATTCTCTCAGTGCCCACCACTCCTCCACTCCATGGCAAGAATCTGGCCACAGGCTGGCCCTGAAGAGTTCTGAGAAGACATCCGGTCCCCACTCTCCAGTGGCAGCATCAGTCCTAAGAAAACATTCTTATTTCAGATCCTCAAGATCCTTCCACAGCCGACCTCAGAACACTAGGATCCCACCATCCCCTGGCCAGTTTGCCTCAGTTTCAAATGATTGAAATCTAAATGGAAGGAACACTGTAGCTCTGTGAAGCCTTCCTTCTAATGCCTTACTTCTGCATCAAAGCAAAGAAACATGGAAAGACATGAGAGAAAACTTTGCAAGATGAAAATGAGAAAAGAGAAGACGAGGAGGGAAGGCCCAGGGGGGTCAGCAGACTCATGTAATCCCTTCCCGTTGTGAGGAATATAAGGGAGTTAGACTACAAGTGGACGCCACTCACCTGGGGGAAGAGGGAGTGTGTGGAATTGTCGATGGTGAGTGAGTATAAAAGCTCCCCGTCATACCACAGGCTTTTCCCCATGGGGGAATTCATCTTAGTCATAGCAAAGAGATGGGTAGGATCGCAACAGTCTTCCATTTGTTTCCTAGGGGAGAAGGAGAAAAGAATGGCAGGTCAGCGAACAGCCAGCTCATCCATTTGCCATCCCCACAGGAGCGTGCCACATTACCCCAGTGCCAAGTCACTCTGAAGCGTCTCCACGGTGGCCACACCATGATTAACTCACACTTCAGTCACTGAACTGCATGACTGTAACATTTTACTTAAAAAAACATTTCAGAAAAACATGCCAGCTCCCAGATGTGGCTGAAACGTCTAAAGGTGAAAATGTGCATAATCCCTGGAGATGCACTGATTGGTCCAGCTATCCAGATCCTGTAAGGACTTGAGGAGCTGGCTCTGAAGAGTGAAGGTGGCATTAGGCTGCAGCAGAAACACAGCTGTGGCTTGTTTGCAGCTATCAGGTAATCAAGGATACCCACCGTGAAATGGTGCTAAGGGTGTGGAACAGAGTAGCCCAACGAGGGTGCACGCCCCCAAACTGAGGGCGGGGTTACAGGGAGCTCTTTAGCAGGCCCTCTGAATAGAAGCAGGCATGAGATGAATGGTGTGGTCTCAGAAGATGGTGAGGCACCCTGCCTTCCGGCCATCAGGTCTCAACTGATCTAGAACTAGTAGGGACTGACTGGGTCAAACACTATGACCTTTGCCTTGACCTCACCTTTCCTCCTCTGTGTTTAATACTGGCCTCTCACGGGGCTGCCTGGCCCCCATGCACTGCCTTGTAAATGACTCCCTTGTTGGCTCCTCGGGTACTAGTAACGTGACTGTATTAGGGGTCAGTTGCTCAACCCCGGAACTGTTAGCAAGTAGAAGAGCCAGCATTTAGGAGGACAGACTGCAGACACGTTGGTACCCTTGCCTGTCAGTCAGCATGGCTGCACAGGGCAGCACTTACGATGTGACTGGAGCACACTTCTGGGTGGAACCATGAGTTGCCAGAGGACATTAACTAAAATCTGGGTGATCCTACTCCATAATCAAGGAGTCTGAGTAGAATGAACTAGGTCTTTCCACTTCTTGGCGGCCATGAGGTAAACTGTTCAGCTCCATCATCAATCCTTGCTGTATGGCAGTTTCTTCCACGTTGAAGAGAGGAAGGGAAAGGGTGGGGTGGGGGGTGGGGGGTTAACAAAGGGTCACGTGTCTAGGAAAAGACACTTGGAATATTCTGGAGAGCCCCTCCCCAGCAGTATTAAAAGGGAGTGCCTAAGAGATGCCTCACATTCCCATCACATGCCCTCTCACTAGAACCCACGAGCCAAGATAAGCCCTCCCTCCTTTACGGTGCTCCCGTCAGACATTTCGACACAGCAGCGAGAAAAATCAATGCAATGTGACCCCATACCCAGGCTGGGTCACTTGCTAACTCCATGACTGGGGGTCAGACAACTACTTGTAAGAGCATGCCGAAACGTTCAGGTAACGCAGACCAAAACCCCAGTGCCTGTCTAAACGTTGTCTCCAAAATTTATGTCAACATGTAACCGCCAGTGTAACCAGATTGGCAGAGAGAAGTGTGACCCTGAGAACAGAGTTCCTCTACTGTGTTGTCCGTGGTCAGCAAGTATGGTTTTGCAAGTCACGCATCGTAGGATATCTTTGTTTACTCCCCGGCTTCTGTTGCCTGACTCCAACCTGGTGTTGGAGATGAACACATGGATAGGTCACACAGATGAGCACCTATACACCTGTTCCAGCTGCAGATCAAAGTCAATATATCCGAACTTTAACCTTTCCCTACTAGGAGGGCATTCCATCCTGCAGGGAAGCTCCTCAAACAGGGAGGTGAACAACCCGGAATACTCCAGGAAGTCCCCGAAACGGAGTAGATTCACTGGGCCCCTGACTCCAAGAGGAAGCAACAAAGTTTCTGAGAGTCACTCTGAGACAAACCCAACTGCCCGAAGGAGCAGAAACCACCCTAGCTGCCCGGAAGAGCTTTGGAACAACTGAGCCTCCATCCCGGAAGTGTGTTTCAGGTTCCCAGCTTTTGTGATTTGTCACCCAGGCTGGGGTGGGCTTTGGTGACCACTGCAGCTGTCTTTGAGTCATTTCTGCTCCTGTAAGTGACCTTCACTTCTTGAAGTAACCCCAATAAAGCTCATGACTCAGTAAGTTGGACTTTGGTGGTATCTGTACATTGGTCTATCATGGGCTTCCTAGCTGGGACGAGTTGTGTCTTCCCAGGAAAGGTTTGTCACATGACAAGACCTCATTTTCTGCGCTACCTCCCTTACCCTCAAGATTGAGCTTCATTAGGATAGCATTCCTAGCCATTCCTTGAGCACAAGAGCCCAAGTCTGAAGACTGGTAGCAGACCTCAAGGATAAGCTTAGGTCATAGGGTCTCCGCTTGGAATGATCAAGGCCACTGTCAAGGGGGTGGTTCAGACCACTGAGTTTGCTCTCTGCCCTAGAGGGTCGCTCTCATTATCCCCTCTACCATGCTGTGGTACAGCACGAAGACCCACACTAGAGGCTGCCCTTGGCACTGGACTTCCAGCCTAAGGGACTGGCATTCTTTTTTCTTCCAGAAGAGAATCTCCTTTATAAATTCCCCTCTGTGTGACATTGTGCTTCCCTAGTAGAATGTGAACTAAGCCATCAGGTATTGTCATTACTGTCACATTGCCCAGCCTTGCTGATGACTTGATGCCCATGGCCAGGGAGGCCATGGGACTGGAGGTCTGGCAACCTATCAGCCCGCGAGCTGCTGAGCTCATTATACTATGCTAGGCGTTCCTCCTGCTCTTGGATCTTGGCTGGCTTCACATTCACACTGGATTCAGTGAGAAGAGGACAAAGGAGAAGGCTAAGGACAAACGCCTTCATCCCAGCCATGATTTCAGCATCATACTTTCCTGCTACACCAATACTTTATTTATCATAGACTGTTCCTCCCTTTCCTTTCTCATCCACCTTCATCACCATCACTATTGATATTGCCATCATCATCATCGAAACAGGGTCTTATTATGTAAACCAGGCCGGCCTCAAACTCATCACCCTCCCAACTACCGAGTGTTGGGGTTAGGGGTGTTCACCACCACACTCAGCTCACCCTTTAGTTCTTATTAGTGCTTCTCTACAGACGGTAGCGTGAACAGAGGGTGGTTGTGTTCTGTCATGAGTTGTCCCTGCACTTTGTCAAGGGAGCGCCCTAGGCACTATTTGATCCACAGGAGCTACATGGTTTTAGACAGTCTCTAAAAACCGAGAGACATTAGCGAGATGACAGAACAGGCTTAGTAGACTTTCCAGGGGACGGCTTACCCTCTCCAAGGAGTAGATGGAGAGGGATGGGGGGAGGCAGGAGGAGAGGAGGGAGGGGGAACTGGGATTGGAATGTGAAAAATAAATTTAAAAAAATTTCAAAATGAAGAAAATAGGGAGAAGTTCCACAGGCATGAATCTAAATGTTGGGGAGGATGCATTAATGTTTGGGTTTCCTGCTACAGGTCTGGTGACGGCTCACTTTCTTTTGCACTCAGACATGAGTCTAAGTACGGGCTGTTTCCTCTCTGCCCAGTGCTCAGAACCAAACTGACACTCTACCCTATTCTCTATCCAAGGAATCGTTTGCACAAAGGGGCCCAATGCCTGCCATGCAGCACATGCCTTTAGAACAGTATGTCCATCCAGTCCCCACCATACCACGGAGCTGGGCAGCCTTAAGATACCTCTTCCCACAGTTTGTCTCAGGTTGCACAACCAGCTTTTGCATCTCATCGGGTCCTGCCATCTGGGCTGAAGCACTCATCTGTAAACTCCACTAATCATGACTCAGTCTAAGGTGCCATGAGAGACACAAAAGAAAAGCTTTGTCGAGTCAAATGACAGCACTTTCTTCTGGCTGGTACCCGTCAGCTTACAAATCGCACTCACATTTGTTTCCTCTCTGACTAATAAGAAGAAACACACACACACACACACACACACACACAGAAAAAAAGATCTGGACAGTCACATTTTTCTGAATGTACACAATGAAAGCAGTGTCACAGCCAACAGTTACACATGTTTGTCAGCCTGATAAATGACTTTTGGGGGATTAACAGCATGTGTTAATCATCATCACTGGGCTCAGGGCAATTGTCCCTTTACTGGGAGAAAGCAGAATTAGACAGAAAACAGGTGTACCTTGTGGACAAATACTTCCAAAAATCCTACATTTCTAGCAAAATTCACAACGGCCCTGTTGCTCTCTGCAGGGTGGAGCCTTCTGCACACCTTTCCAGCATTTCTCTCTCTCTCCACAGTTCTTCTGTGTCCTCCTGCCATGATCCGTGGAGCTGCTAAGGAGAAAATGTCCAAGCACATAATTTCATGCCTGGGGCACCTAAACTAGCTCACCAGCTACAGGGACCACAACAGCCACAACTAAAGCAGCCGCAGAAGCAGGTATAATTTGTGACTCCTGTATGCAGGTGACTGAGGCAGGAGAACAGAAATTTTAAGGCCAGCCTGGGCTGCATAAAAATAAAAACCAAAGCAGCAGTATTCAGGGTATCAGCGGTAACAGTCAAAATAGAAGGAGTAATAAGGCTCTTAATTCTTAAGTAACATGACGCTAGAACTTTTAGATGTAAAAGTAGATTAAAAAAATAATAAAGCCAGACCCGCCTTCAGAGAACTTAAGAAGAGGACACGCACGCGTAAGGCTACACACATAAAAATAAACTAATGGAACCATGTCAAGCTTCAAGAGCTCTGCACAACAGAGGGGCAAACAAGAAAATGGAAAAGCAACCTACAGAGACAGGAGAGACAGCGTGAGTCTGGCAAGTTAATGTGCAAGTTTTGTAAGGAGTTCTCCCAGCTCAATTTTAAGAAAACCAACAATCTGATAGACAAGACCCAAACAGACACTTGTCCTAAAAAGATTCCGGATTGGGAAAGGAGGCCGGGAGGGCTCCGGAGTAAATTGCTTGCTCTACAAGCTTCGTGACGCAAGTTTGACACCTGGGACCCAGGTTTGGTTTGGTTTTCTTCGTTTCGGTTTTTGACATATGT